ATTTTCTGTGCTCAGTGGGGGCTGAAACAGTTTCCAACAAAAGTTAAGCCAAAACTTGAAACTTCTCAATAGTTTTGAGTTGCCTGGAAATACCTCTCTTCTTCAAAAGTGTGTCTGCCTTCGTGGCCTGGCACTGCACAAAGCACTCCCTACAATCTAAGTCCCCAAATTCAGTCTTATACAATTCCCTGGACCAGCTCAAAGCCTCTTGCTTTGTTTGAGGTTCACTGAAATGGAAGCTGATTTGGCCTACCCCAAACCCACCTAATGATTGATTCTTCTTTATACAAAGCTATGATGAGAGAGGTTATAACCAGTCATCATAAATGTTTCGAGTCACTTGCTATTACGCACCAGCATAATTTTATTATCTTTGGAGTTGTTCTCCGTGTTCTAAGGAACATATTACAGCACCAATGTCATGCATAGACAGATGCTCCATTAGCTGCTCTAAATTACCATCTATTACAAGTCTGCTGTAGAGATGAAGATAAATGATGAATGTTTCTGGCTGCATCAAACCACATTGAAATAAGCAGGGATTAGATATGATGAAAGGCCAGCAGCCTATCGAATATACTGACCTGTCTCTGATAACTGCTAATATGGGCTTCTTCAAAATCAGGTAAAAATAATATTTTAATAGTTAACTGTAGAGTTAGAAAGGCTAATCTCCCACAGTTACTGGTTATTGTAGATCTTAGGCCAGGAGATATCTGTGTTCCTCCCTAATTTAAGGTTCATATCCTTCTTTATTTCTGTCTAAATTTGGATTCAGATGCCACCTCCTTTGGTTCAGATGCCTCCCATAAATTCTTCCTGTACTGAATCATTTTTATTGCCTATTTCTAAGTCTCCTTTCTTCTTCTGCAGAAGCAACATCACACAGTGGTCTGAGACCTGAAGCTCTTTTTCTGGGTAATAGGACCCAGAAAAAAAAATTTTGCTAAGTACATTACATGTTTTAAGCTGATGAGCTCAACCTTTTTTTTTTTTTTTTTTTTTCTCATAGGTATTCAAAGAACAATTACAAACAAATATTTTCCTCAAACTATTGTTACAGCATTTAATCTTCATCATCTCAGGCAATGTCAACTTGAGATGTCAACTTTATTTTGAAACATCACAACACTGTCACATTTAATTTTTTTAACTATTATTAATCCAAATATAAATTGTCTACATTAAAAACAACATCGATAAAGTGAACGACAATGTAATAAAAATGTCGCAGAAAAAAATGGTTGTTTGTAAATTAGCTGTGGTGAATTATGGACTGAACTATCACCATTTTTTCTCTAACCTTTTTAGATGATCAAATAAATAAAAAAGTAGAGAAAATCTGAGAAAGAAAGGGATCAATCATTGGTATTGTTAGATCCAAGCATGCAGATATACCTAAGGATCTCATTCATTGATACTTTCAGAAGTATCCAAATACATAGAATAGGATCACCCTTCTCTATCTTTTAGACATGACATACTCAGGTATAAGACTGATGAACACCTCTAGGGGCAACTGTGCTCTCCTCAAGAACAGCTGAGGTTCAATATGGTTTATCTCAGCTGTAGCTGTAATTTGGGCTGATTCTGCTACTGATCACCTGGGAGAATGCTTACTCTCTTCTGCTGGCATGGTCAAAGAAGCACTGGTCACAGCATGACACAAGGGAGGAACTGCTTACTTACTGAGGTGGGACTGTGACTGAGTCACCTCTAGGCTGCAGGACAGAGCCACGGGAAGAGCTTCAGCGTGTCAGAGAGTCAATAAAAGGTCTGCCGTTGGTTTCAAAACAAGAATTTTTTCAGTTTCTTGTTGGAGACTGCAAAATAGATCATACCAGAGCATGAAAGTTTTCAAGTCCAGAAAGCCACAGAAGAGTTAAAAGAGCTGAGGACTTACTGTAAGGGTTACAAAAATAACAAATGTTTTTCTACCTTTCTATTATTTGTCATGCAGAATTAAGCCACCTAGAATAATTAATTCACAAAGGCTGCTTGTGTAAGTGCTGCCAGACACAGCTTGTTGAGCTAAGAAAACTTCCGTAGCAAATCTTATCTGTTAGAAGGGAAGGTTTTTAGTAGGTTTGAATAAAGACAAACAAACAAACAAAAAAAAAAAAACAGCAATCAAGAAAATGTATGCTATTATCAGAAATATTTGCACTGATTATACATAATCTATAGAGAATGATTTATAAACTTTTCTTATGAACAGTTGTTTTTCTTAGTAGATTGTTCTCTTTTCAGAGAAACAAATGCTAAATCTAATTTTTCTTTCTTCCTTCTCTTCTTCCTTCTTTCTTTCTTTTCTTTTTTCTTCACTTTCTTTCTCTCTCTTTGTTTTTTTTTTTTTTTTTTTTTTTGTTCTGATCCTTCCTTCCTTTCTTCCTTTCTTCTCCCTTAATTCTTTGTTTTTCCTTCCAGTGTTCTAATACCTTTTATAATTGTTGTTCTCATCTTCTGTGCATTACATATGTTCTCACATGGAAACCACTGTTTGATCAGTGTACATATACACCAGGCACGGAGAGGCTTTCCACGAGAAAACAAAAACAAAAAAAACAACAACAAATTTTTCGCATTAGGAATGCAGCTGCAAGAGGAATAGAAAATGGGGAAAGAGGTGACTTCTGCTGTGTTTTCTATGTTGAGGTCAATAAAGTTATTCCTGTGATCAAGAAAGCAATTCCACAAGTTGAGAACCAAGATATATGGGAAGGGAAGGGAAGGGAAGGGAAGGGAAGGGAAGGGGAGGGAAGGGAAGGGAAGGGAAGGCTGGTATGCATGGGCAAGAGGTCTGTCTTCACACCTGGATGACTGGAATGTCCACTCACACATTAGAAGCAGAATTTCTCTCACAGAGATTTCCTTTCCAATCTTCTGTTTACTTTCTATAATCTACATTCTCTCACATGTAGCATGTAGGCATTTCTAGGTTATTAATGTACTGTGCCAGCAGCCAGATTTTTGTTTCTCACAGGTATTTATGAGAACATATCTCCGATAATCTATGTTCAGTCACTGTGAAAGTACAGTTTCAAATTTGCCCTTGAAATGTGAAACAATCAATTTTGGCAGCATTTGTTCTTCCCTGTCAAGTATATTTCTCTTTCTAAACTCCATAAACAGTTTAAGAATAATGTCTTACGACAGTGCTGCTGCGATCCAAGAGAGTCTCCTTTGTTTTCTAATTTGTCTTTCTTTTGTTCAAACCAAGGGATAAGGAATCTAGCAGCTACCAGTGGCAGCATCTGGTTTGATCATCTTATCACTGATTGGTCCTGTGATTAGTGCAGACAAGCAATGGAGAAGGTAGTTCTAGGTAGTATTTCTAGTTGAAGGCAGCTTCTAGTCCATCTGTTACTTGATATGGCCACTTACATATGCAGCTTCTCATCTTTCTGAGGGATCCTCCTCAGAGGCAGAGTAGTATTTTTCTGGGTTTTATTAAGGAGACGATGTAGCCTTCTTTTGTATTAACTCAAACTGTAATGTTTGCTTCCTGCAGTAGACACCAAGCTAGTTTGTCAGAAGGTTAGCCTACATACCTCCACTTTCATTGTTATCAGCCCAAGTCTGACAAATAACTATTTAAAGTATTGTAGTGCTCGTGTAAAGCCCAAGACTAAGTACAGAAACTTTAGTTTTACCATTGAACAAATACAGCAAGATAATCTGAATTTTCCTCAAACATCAGTGGACAGGCAAAGTAAATACTGACAAAAAAAAATCACATAGTGGTAATTACATAGAAGAAAAACAATTAAAACCATGTTTCTCTAAATATTGTTGGAGACAAACAGCTGGAAAAGAGTTATTTTAGAATCATAGAATCATAGAATCACCAAGGTTGGAAAAGACCTAAAAGATCACCCAGTCCAACCGTTCACCTATTCCCAATAGCTCCCACTAAACCATGTCCCTCAACACAACATCCAGTCTTTCCCTGAACACCCCCAGGGTCGGTGACTCCACCACCTCCTTGGGCAGTCCATTCCAGTGCCTGACCACCCTTTCTGAAAAGTAATTCTTCCTAATGTCCAGCCTGAATCTCCCCTGCTGTAGCTTGAAAGCTGCAATTCTCACTCAGATAATGCTCAGCCTCAGAGACCACAACCAATATTGTATCCAGAGCACCACATTTCTGACCCTGTTTTTTATTTCCCGCTTTTCTGCCTCCTTCCACCCATACCCAAAGTAATATTCAGTGAAACTACCCACCTTCACGGTCATGATCTGCTTTGACATTTGTTTTATGGATGAATTTGTCTCATTCCTAATTGCCTGATAGATTGAGCTCAATCAGATCAGTTTTAAGAATAAATTCAATTTATTGATAAACTAAATCACAGAGATTAACAGTATGAGCTCAAGCGAGATATTGTGAGAATGCTACAAGCTGCTTGCCATATTTCTATCAAAATAACATCAGCTCACCTATGGAAAACCCTGGTTTGGTTGTCATTTTCCAAATTGTCAGCATACATACTTAATTAGCCAGACCATTCCTGTTAGCACAGTGTATACATTAGTAATATAAATATCAATCAATCTGATGTTCCTGTTTCTGAGGATTATGTCTGCAGGACTTTGTCCTCCACCATGATATTCAAATGGTTTGTTTTTATCACAGTTTGAAGTGGTTGCAGAAAAGTGGACTATCCTGTTCTGCTAAGTGCTGACAAAAAGCAGCAGGATCTAATAGCTGTAGTAAGGTTGACGCAAGTGAGTAAGGCATGCAAGTTGCTGCTCTACAGAAACCTGCCATGCTTTAAAGGGAGAATGGTAAAATTATTAACAGAACTGCAAGAGCTCATTGCATAGGGCTAGGTTTGGTGAGAAAGATGTTGTCTCAGTTCTTTTTATTTCGTGTAGTGGTATAAATAAACCCAAGCAAAAGCTTAATTCAGTTTGCACTTCAGATCTGACATTCATTTTAAAAGACTATTTTGGAAGACATGAGTGCAACCTAACTACCTATCATTTGTCTTCTCCAGGGACTCAAGAGTTCAGTTTGGTCTGGAAATGGACCCCACCTTTCAGCAATGGCATACTAAACAGGAGACCGGAACTTCTGAGAGGATGCTGAGGAACCAAAGTGAACAGCACGGAGACAATCCCCAGCAGCTAGACTGTCTGCTTCTAGTCCTAATGCATTTAACTGGAGCAGAGAATACTCTGCTGGCCCTGTATGAATATGCATTAAGTGCCATTTTCAGTACATAACAGCTTTTTAGACAGCTGCTCACCCTTATTGTCTTGCCTGTTGCAGTTTCCTTTCCACTGTCTATCCTGAAAAGTTAAATATAGCCATCCGAGATGCAGCAGTTCTGAAAAGGTACCACTTGTTGGATGTGATGTGTTCTTTTATTCTCATCAATTCCTCATTCTTTTTGAACCTGACGTATAATCCCCTGTAAATGGCTCTCTTTATCCTGCAATTTGGAACTGTTCCACTTGATAATTTATGCTATCGTCACTAGTTAGCATGATCCCTAATCTCAGTAGCTTTTATCAAGCTTTTTTATCAGACGTACTGCTTTGAGTTGTTTGTATTAATAATAGCTAAAAGCACTAGCTAAGAGCGATGCTGTCTGCTGCCTCTGCCCAGCCTCTCCAGGCACTGACCTTCTCTCTTGTACAGAGCAATGGCTAATGAAAAAGCACCTCCGCCTTTTCTTGTTTTCAGGTTCACACATCCTTGAACATATACTAGTTTAAAGTTTGTTTGACATCTTAGATCAGCTGAAGGTTGTAAGTAATTTAAAGTCATTCATCTAAGTCAGCACCTAAAATGAAAGAAGTAATGGTTTATTCTGTAGGGAGTTACTTGTGAGCAGCTAAAAGTGTGTAACACACCATTGCACAGTGCAAAGCCAACCTCAGAAGAAAGTAGATGAAAACCTATACAGAGTTTAAAGGGCATCTACAAGTATTCATTTTAACCCAGACAGTCAGTACAGGGGCCACTTGTCTTTTTATCAACGGTATCTGATAACATGAAGAAATTAATAATTTACAGAGGGCAGGCAGTACTTTTCCATTACAAGCTGTGCGCAAAGGAAGAAAGAACTGCTGGCACACGGCACAGTGCTCCCTGCAAGGTCGTTCTGCCTCACTGCTGCAAATGTGTTTCTTTTTAACCCCTTCATAACAGTAAGAAAATATAGCTCCACATTACATGTGTATTTAACATTTATTAAGTCCAGAAAACAACCCACAACCATTCAGGACTACAGTTTTGGAAGCCATGCAGATCAACATCTAGTAGTTCTTTGGATGGGAGATCTCATGGAACCCTGAATGCTTTGAGACAAGCCAATGGCTCCATTCAGCCCAATGGAGCTAGCAACCCAAAACTTAACAGGTTATTCAGTGGGTAAAAAAAGTGATGAAACTTGGCTTCATTCAAGGTCTGCACCCTTCACCCACCAGTCTTACCCTCCAGTTTCATCCTTTCACATCTCCTGTAGTATACCCTTGGGCAAGGGACATCGGTACAGCGACTGCCAGCTCGATGATGCACACAATGTTCATTTGACTGCTGCCAAAATGGATGTATCACAGCAATCTCCAACCGTCCTTTTTCTCTATCCCTCAGTTCAGATGCTGCCCTTTGTGTAACATCTGGGGTTACAGCTAGCTCTCAGCCTTCAATGGCTCTTTCCTGTTTGGATAGGAGTACTTGAGGAAGGAGAGCATGGCCAAGCACAGCCACTATGCAAAGACAGAGGTTTGCTGCAGCCTCCTAGGAAACCAGGCTAGAACGATAAAAAAGCTCATTCGGGACATACATTAATTAAATATAATGGTGACATACTTGAAAGAGCAGGAAATGATAACATTATGATTCTCACAGAAACAGCAATGTCTGCTACATGTCCAACATACTCCTTGATTAAATCTGTTAAATCTGCAGTCTACCACACTTCTACTCATGTTGTTAAACACCATAATATACAAAAGGTGCATAATTGTGGAAAAGCATTTGAACTTCTATTGTTTACAGTTAGAAAAATTAAATAGATGCTTAAAATATGCAGAGCCTGTCAGAAACATGGAGACATACAAAAATGGCATGATAATCAGCTTTATGAATACACATGACTTCTTTGAGTTCTTGGTCTTTTGAAAGACTGTCCTGAAAATGAGGTGAGGAGGGGAAGGAATCCAAATGATTGCCATGCACAGCATTTTTTCTTCATTTTGTTCAATTAAGTCACATGCATCTCCAGAAGAGTTTTTAATGCAAACTTTTTTAACAGCATCATCAGGCAGCATGGGAAATCTGTGGAGATACCACCATGAGTGGGGCAGGATTCCATCAGGTTCAGTTAGAAATCTCCATTGATGCTGTCTGCATGTTCTCAGAAGTGCAGTCACTTATAATTTTATAATTGGCCAATCAAGGTGTTTTTTTTCTTTTCTTTCTTCAGTCTTCTATATTGAAATGTACTTCTCTGATTCATGGAACATTCTTTATCTGTCAAGTTTTTCCCTGATGATATATCAGGTTTCCTTGCAGGCTTTCTGTATATCCATCTTATTTTTCTCACTGTGGGTAGAGGGAAGAAGGAGAATTATGAATGCACTGGGCATTGCTCCAAAGTTGAGGCTGAACTGAAGTTTGTACTCCAAGGAGTTCAGTCACTCTGCTGTGCACAGAAATACTGTTTCACTGCTAAATTTACAGTACTTACTGAGAATTTACATGTAAACCCATTAATTAAAGTTAATTGAAAATAGGTCCTTTTGCACCTTCTGTCAGACTTTCATTTATCTCTAATGAATTCTGTTATAAAATACAGACCCTTAGTTATTCATATATCATGAAAATTCTTTGAAGTCTTTCTGCGGGACATTTTTGAAGCAATTATTTTAGGAGTTATGTCCCCTTCTGCTAATACTGCTCAGAGCTGTAAGTTTCTCATTTATCAGTGAGATAAGGGAATGGAGCAGCAGGAGAGGTCGTCAGGAGGGCTCTTCATGGCTGCCTCCCATCTGGGGTACAAGGACCCTACAGGGCAAAAATGAACCATCTCTGAGTCACACACATTGTAAGACCTTGGTTTCCCAGGTGATCTGTATTGCTACAGCTCTGATACAGCTCTGGGTTACTCCTCAAGCACATTCTCAATCCGGTATGCCTACTGATGCCAGGTTCTGCTGCTGTATGCTAACACAAAAGGAAAAAAGGCTTTGGAACAAATGTGGTCTTCAGACCACATCAGACCACAGGTAGTCCTGCCACCCTGTCATCCAGTCTCCTGTAAATTGTAAATTTCAGCCATTTCTCCCCTTCCAGGCTTTTCTTCCAAAGGAAATTTAAAGACATCCTCATTTTCATTCTGAGTTTCTTTTGTTTTAAAATTTTAGGTCCTCCCACGGAACACAGAGTTGTGAATTTCAAAGCAACTGTATTTAAAGTTGGTCAAGATTATAATGCAAATAACTTTTTTTCAGTAAGAAAAGAAGAAATGATAGAAAATTAAAAGACAGCTAGTGATTGTTAAAATATTAGATCATCACATACATTTGCATTAATTACACAAAAGCTGAAAGTACTTCATTAAATACTCTCATAACACAGTAACTTCTTTCTGGGATAAGCAGGTAAATAATTACATGCTCTCTGTCCCATGTAGATTTATTGACTAAGAAAGGGAGAACAGAATGTTATAAATCAAGAGCGCACTGATTTTTTTTATTAAAAAGAACAAGCATTTTAATGATGTTCATCAGAAAACTGCACATACATGAATTGTGTGTTCACGTATTTGAAAATTTGAGTTCCTAAACTCAGTTCAGTATGGAAAAATCAAGTGTATAAATGATATATTGTTAGGAATCAGTACTGAAGATAAGAATATGGGAATAAATCTGATTAATTTCAATCTAAATGAGCAACGTGATACTGCATGCAATTTTGAGGATGTAATTGGTCTTTGCAGGTCCCTGTTGCCAGTCATACAGACAGCTTTGTATTCTGCAAGGAGTTCTATTTTAATGAATGAGTTTATACATGGTGCAGCTTCAAATTAATCTTTATTCTTAGGAACCTTTATTTCCACAGTATGTAGGCATTTCACACTAATACTCCTATCCCCATAACTATAGGCTGGCAGATAATTTTCGATTTTATAAAAAAGTTACAGTTTACAGAACATTTTCTTTTCTGAGTGGGAAGAAAAGTCTCAAACTTGTGAAAGATCAGACAGAGAGAGCCACTTTGGAATAAGACATAGGGTAAGTTCAAAGGGTACCATTAAGAAGAAGTCTGGTGGAAAGGATTCATTCCAAACATGATGAAACAATGAGCAGGTTGTGGGAATAATTTCCTAATTCTCTGTTTCTCAATAAAAACTGTTATTTAGCTAAACACCACCACAAGGAGTTGGGAGTGTGCCACTATCTCCAGTTTTAGACAGGACATGGAGGTGAGCAGAGACTATATGTTGGGAGCACAGATTACAGTTTTCATATGAGACTATGAAGAGTCTACAGCAAAACAAACAAAAAATGAACTGGGTCTCCCAAGTTCTGGCCATGGTTCTGGCAGACTTTGTTCTCAGGAAAGCAAGGAAAAACAGTTTTCCAGTCACTGAGTAGTAACTCAATAGTCACTCAATAGTAACTTTTCTGGAGCAATGCAGGAAGACTTTCATATTTCCAAATTTCAGTGAAAAACCTCTTTGGCTTTCAACCAAACAGGTTCTTCTGTCCTTCATTTCTGTATTTTAAGTCAGCTTTCTGAAGTAAGAAGGTGTTACTAGAAAAGATGCTTTTGAACGTCTTTGTTAAGACTTAAATGGTGTTGATTGGAGGACTTAACTTTTAGAATGGCCATTTCAAGCACAATCTTAATGCTTTCAGTCCAGAAGGATGAGGGGAGGGAGAGAGGAAATCTGGAAATAGAATGAATGCTTTGGAAAAGGAAGGTATCAGGGTATATTTACTCTGTAAAAGCCCCTTACATATCTCAACTACAGTAGTAAACACTCAAAAATTGTACAGTATACTTTCCATTTTCATTATGACTTTTAAGTCACAAAGATGAATGTCATTTCATCTGTGAATCT